CTTAAACTGCACGCGCTACATCGCTTGCGCGCGAGACACCCCTGAAGGTATACTGTAACCTTAAAAATTACAGTGCACAGAAGCTAAACAATATATAATCAAGATGGATTACGCATGCGTAATATTGTGATGTCAAATCTGACAGACTTCTCAAATTCTGTCATCTTGTTTCAGAAAAACCCAGTTAACCTGCACTTCTTTAAAGCCCCTATTTTGATTCGTTCTTGTTAATCTGCACCTCTTTTGTTCTTAGGGCTAGGGGCGTTGCTTAAGTTGCTTACCTATCGTCTCGTTTGGTCACTTTTATAAAGTACCTTGTAAACGTACGGTGCAGGTCTCCCCGAAAAATCGATAATGCTGAACTACTGCAATTTGCTCTCCCTTCTAGAATTCACTGGATATCTTTCGGTGTATTTGGTGTATGAGCGACGGTGTTTGGTCGTATAAATTTCAACACTACGAAAACCAAAAACATGAAAATAAAAGATGCAGCGACAAACTCACCCCGATGGTTTCTCTTTAGCTCTCCTTCAAACTTGCAAAATAAAATGCTCAAAATGAATGTTCTTCCTTTCCAGTCATGTAACGATTACGTCAAAAAGTAACGTTTGGTTACAAAACAGATTTATGGACTTAAAAATGATAAGCCTTATCCAGTTTTTGACTTTCCTTCGAGAACTGAAACATCAATTGACAGCGCTTCTGTTGCACGACTAGGAGAGGAAAGCAGAAATGTTCTCAAGGTGTATTTCAAAGGTTCTCAAAAGTCAAGGTCACTGAGTATTGAATCCAAAATGAAGTTGTGTTTCGTAAATTCGCTACATTTTTTAGTCAGACGGACGCTATCCATACTCTAATAGGTCGAGTAGACCAAGTAGTATCAAGTCGTTTATAGTCTATTATCATAGTTTGACGATAAAAGTAGTCTGTAAACCTTTATTTGGAAATATTAAAATAAAGATTTAACTGACTACATTTGACGGAATTGAATAAACACTGGACATTGAGCAATACTGAGTGTTTTTAGTTTTCTTATGACATGTGTAGTTTGTAATTAAAACACTTAATCAAATTCGGTGCCGGTAGGCCCGATACAAAAAATTGTATGGAAACCTATGCTGACAAAGAAATAGCTCAGACTGAAGTTAACTTGTTCACAATAAAAACGATCAAAAACTGATTTGGAATTTATTACAAAAGTAACGTAATGCCGTATATTTTTATTGAAACAAACCCAATATTACTCGACTGTGGAATGTTGCAAAAGCGGTTTGGTTTGCAGTTCTAACCTTGACCCTAACAGATGGCGGATTCATTCCAATACAGTAAATAGTGTATCGTATATAATCGGTTATGTCCCAGAAACATCCCTTAAAAAATACATCATACAAATGTTCTAGATGTTGCTCAGTTTTCACTGAGTAACATATTCAGTCCGCTGCTGGAGTTTTTGACGGTTAACAAATCTTATAACACTATTGCCGGTCTTTCTATTTACATCTTGTCGACATGTTGCGCACGCCGACACACTTCGGCTGTTTCCTCTTGTTTTTAAAATGTTAAGGGCGTCTGTATAACTTACAGACTGTCCGATACAACAGGCATCCCGTAACTGCGCCTTTCAACAACATGCGGAATCTAAAATTCAAAGCGCAACCGACAAATGCGTTTTTCGTTACCGTCAGTCAAATGTTCGGCGGCTCCTCCCAGCTTTCGACTATGTTGTCTGCAGAACTGTGCCCAACGATTTGATTTGATTACCGCGCGCTCAGCAGTAGTTCGAAGCTGGGAGAAGTCGCCGAACATTTGATTGACGGTAGCGAAAAACGCATTTGTCGGTTGAGCTTTGAATTTTAGAGTCCGCATATTATTGAAACTGAGGCGCAGTAAAGCGAATACAGACTTTAGAACCGGCGGCAAAGTCCGATTCCAAAAATTTTTATTATTGGACCTTGCCGTCGCACATAACAATACCAAGATCAGTATAAATGACCGTTTACGATGTGCTCAGTTATCGATACTGCTGAAGCCCGCTGTTTCGAACTCTCAGGGGAAACGAAAAATAGTTCGAAATAATCGATAGTAAATGACTGAAGGGCGAATTCAACTATCCAAGGGAAATGGTTTACAGTTCAAAATAACTGGGAATTCGAAATAACCGAGTTCAAATTAGTGAGATCCTATTGCATCTCATAGTTAAAACAACATAAACACTTTGGCGCTGTACGTGCACTTTACACCATCCTGTGATAATTATTACCCATCCGTTACCAAGCAACGCCATGTACAAATTTAGAACATAAAGAGGCGGTATATAATATTGTATTTGAACTACCAGTCAGTTTTGAGTTTAAACACATGGACTAAAACATCCATTATAGATGTTTAATTCAATTCTTAAGACCTTGCTGTCCTTGGCATTGTCATCAAGCTCTGCCTTCTCATCAAGGTATAAATATTGAAATAGGTATGGAGTATCAGATCTGCCAATCAATTTGTTTTGAACTTTCTTCCAAAAAGATTGTCACGTATATGAAATTTGCAGGTGATTTCCTACCCGGTCAAACATTTGTACGAAATGACAAAAACAGTCTTCTCTCAAGAGGGGGGCTTCAGTTCGAGATGACGTGGCACAGAGGAACAAAATTTCATCAACGGAAAAATTACGAAAAATTCACAGAGGATATTGACTAGGTTGAGAAAACTGAAAAGAGTAAACCAGTATTGAAATTTTCGTTCATGGCTTCTTTTTAGGAATTGGAAAAAGTCAAATGTGTTTTCTGCCTGTGCGGTTAATAAACACGTGTATGTTGACTTAATTCACATTTATTGCCGGCTTGGTTAGGTCATATCTCAGTTATCAATCGCGCAGGGTCCACAGTACTCGTCAAATACATGTAAAATGGATTAATCTTTTCCTGAAAAGTGGCTTTATTTACTATGTTAGATCTACTAGGTTTATTCGAATTAACGATGCTTGGCCGAAAACACAACACGTTTTACAGATGATGGTTTTGGCCAGTTTTCAGTGACGACACTACCTTCTACTAAACTAACAATTACCATATTGTGAACCAATATTAAAATTGTGTTTTAATCTTTCGCACTATCCATTGAGCTTGGGAAAAAGAATGAGAGAAATGTTCAGTATACCCGCAGTACTTGTTCAGCATACCCACAATGTCGGGCTAGAAAAACCAATTACCAATGCAAGTTCAAGATTTTCACAACTCCGAATCCGCGATGTTCGCTGAAGCAAAATTTAAAGTAAGGAAAAAAACGTTACTCTCCTTTTATGTCTCAGGTGTCAAGATATCTTGTTACATGTATTAATAGGATCTCGGCTATTTCATTTTTGACTTGTGCACGTAGGAAAACTTTGTACAGATGTGCCTAATCAAGCGCCGTACGGAATAACATGTCCACTTAGCTGCAGTTTTGTTCAAAACACCACAAAAAAGTGTTCTCCCGAAATTTTTGTACCGTAAATCCTCGAAAGTAATTTCTTTAAGAAATTTTAATATCGTAGCATTGAGCAGCATTGTAAAACTCAAATTATTTCGGAGGTAAGCTTTACATTTTCAAAGTTTTTCCCAGCATATTGTAATCCATTTTATGCTCGCCATCTTTAGTCATTGTGACTAGTAACAAAAATTCTTGTGATCTGTCCGAGATAATTCTGCAAGATCATAACCATTATTTTCGGATTTCGGATTTGTTTAGAGGCTAGAGTAGTACTTTGGACTCTAAATCATGCTTATGTGCTTAACATAGTCAAAACTCGGAAAAAGTCTATTTTGAGAGAAGAAAATTTTTCCTTACCTACAAAGTACTGAGGGTGATTCAGACACTCAGTAAAGAAAGTGAGATGTTCACCAAAACTGTTTTTCCAGCGACTGGTTAATAAACCAATAAGGTCGGCTAATCATATTAACATCTAATTTCTTTTTTTTTTTGAAATATAAATACATTGGCAGGCAGCTGACAATCACTTGATCAACTGGGGAAATTATCTAGAGTTTTCCGTCATATTCTACAAGCTAACTTTTAAAAAAGTGTACCTCATTTCCGTAAGTCAAGTTCAAATTGTAACACGTCCAACATCACCCCCTATATTTCCTAGTTCCTGTTGCCTTTTAGGTTTTGCGTTTTTTTCCAGAGCAAAGATGGAAATTATACGTGTTTTTATTGGGCTTTTGACAAGACAAAAGATACCCTCAGCTGTTGCCAGTCGCAATTAGTTATGTAATAAGCTGATTGAATCAAGCGCTCACTTTTCGGTATCCGTTTCATTATAAGCTCTGTAATTCCTTGCCGTTGTTTTTTCAAATTGCCTTTTTTTATACAGTTGCTTGCTAACAACTCTGTGTTGCTCAAAGCCGCGCGCTTCAGTTTTACACACGTTTTAGTTGAGACTTAAAAATGTACCAAAAAACGTATGTATCATTTTGAAAATCACGTGCGAAAGAGATTTTTCCTGTTGTTACATAAAACAAAGATTGAACAAACCCGTGGTACTCTAAAGGTACACAGGATAATGCTTGTAAAGCAAGATTTCTAGATGAGTCTTATTTCCCACGAACACCGAAACTATAGGGGGATTCATGCTGACGTCATTGTTTACATTTTTGCTCATTTGCCTACAGCTTTGCGTACAGAAGGAAACATGTTAGATATGAATTGACTTCAGGCAGCTAAAGAGCTAGTGAAACTTAGTACATGGTGAAATATGTAGCTCTTTGGGTCTAATATTCAAGGAGATATTGTCTTTCAAAAACTGCAAAATTTCTGGGTGGCAAAAGCGCTAATGAGCTAATACATTCTTTGTAAAATTTTGAGTTTTTAAGCCCGTGTTGCACAAAAAGTATTCACTACATCAGGCTCATATTCATTGGCAGAGTTAACCGTACTATGACCTTTCAATATTCAGAACTGTTTTATTTGCAGCTCCGTCAGAAACTGAACTGCTTATGCTAATGAGGCAAATATTGTAAACAAGGATTCCCCTATTTAAAGATAGACCGTCGATTTTCTTGTTTTATTGGAAGGCAGCATCACCTTGTTGTTATCTGGGTTGATGAAATACGTAATATTTAAAAAAGAACATTCCATGCTCAATCGAAAATTTAAGCCTCATTTTATGAGCGTTCCGAACATTATCGAATCAACATGGAATACGTGATGCAAATATTTGTCGAATTTTGTTGTGAGAGATTTTCAACGTGAGGAAACGCTTTCGTCAAAACACTTTCGATCTGTGACATCTGTTTAAGCATAGTCAATAGAGGTTTAAGTTTCAGATTGGAATTTTAACTTGGAAATCAATCCAAGACGGCAGTTGAGACATTAGAAGACTCTAGTACTCATTTTCAAGGCTAGCTGTCATCTGGATATTGTTTTAACAGTAGCTCAATAAATGTTTCTGGCGTTTTACTGAAGGACATCCCAAAAAATAATAATAACGACACCTATACCCACGGGAATTATTTTTATCGATGGTCATTGGCAAGTTATCTAACATGTAAAAGAAAATCATTTACCGTATAGCTACTCACTGATCTGTCCCCTCTGTGTGAGATTGAAGCAAACACTGAAAATAAAGCTAATTATCACATGACATTAGACGTGCACGTTGCCTGAAGGGAAATACGCAGTCCGACATGCTGACGTAAACAGGTCTTCAAGGTTGTCATGGGATTGGGCATGAGCTGGTGGAGAGATGACAATTAGTTTCCTAGACCTGTTATTTAATGTGTGTTATTCGACACGTTTTTGCGTATTTACCGGCACAAATTTGACAGTTCTTCACAACACATCAAACTGCCAAAACTAATAATATGTACTTATTGACCTGAATGGGTTGGGGAATCACGTCTGGGCCGACTAACTTCTGTAAATATGTACTTTGCCGCATGGGTGAAAGCGCGGGAAAATGAATTATCCACACTTAAGCTATTAACGTGCAGATAAAGCATAACACAAACCGTCGTCAAAAACACAATACGGTCAAGTAATTATTTCCTTCCCCTTCAGGGAGGAGTGTATTTGCCCGTCTTGTTTTCCCTTCCTGGCCTTTTTAGCCTCTGTTTCATAACAAAGCCTGATGCAAAACAACGATTTACATAAAATGGCTGTTTGTATAGGTCATCAAATGACTTTTCTCGTGCAATATTTGGGGTGATGTTGCAGCTCTCGTAAGGTTTCACATGAATGGCTTGTTACCCTTTGAGAGAACAATAGAACAAACAACAGAAACAATGCCCCTAGGCCTAAAACAATAACAGCTGCTAACAATGAAGAGAATTACAAGTTTACGAGAGCTGTTACACTTCTGAATATCTGGAATAAATAAATGAGCAGTAAATTTTTCAAAGTTTGAAAAAAACAAATGGCAGGAGCCTGTTGGGCGAATGCAATTTGAAGTCTGAAAAATTAACGAGTGCTTATTTATTCCAAATATTGCACGAGAAAAATCATTCGATTACTTGTTAATAATATACATGCAATTTAATTTGAGTTTTCTGCACTCAATTTCAGCTTTTTGCACTCGCCGGATTTCATCCGTTTCTGCACTGTTTGGGATTGACGTGCTCTCAGCCAAGCAGTATGTTGAAATTTTTACATGTATAGGATTACAAAAGGAATTAATAAGAGTTTGCATTGGGCCCGATTTAAGACTGCCGGACACGACAACTGGCGCGAAATGGAACGATAGAAAGAGAATAAACAACAGAATGAAAGGTTCGCATGTTGTAAGACTGAACAATTTTCTAAGGCCGTAAAAATAGAAAATATATGTTATGACTACAAGAATCAACTCGTCCAAATATGTCGCATTCTACAAGTTTAGTCAATCATCGAATTAAGTCCTCGAGGAACTTCATGTCAGTTACCACTGAAATGATTTACTTCCACCTTGAGTTTTTCCCTAGTAGTTTCAATAGGAACACATTTAATCTTTATGGCGCAAATGTTTCTGCCAAGATGGAACAGAAATAACAACTCAAGCCTATAAAGGAGGTAAAAATATATAATCTGTTCAAACGGCTCTGACCGTGCTCTTAGCTCATAATTTTGTTTGCGGTTAGCAAATGATTTAACCATTCATTTAATTTAACGTAAGAGCCTACAAATAGTAAAGCACGCCATACAAAATTAGAATTCACTTCAGATCTATAATACGATACAAGAACGCAAGTTAGAGCTTCAATTTCTTAACATACCTAAGAGCTTGAAAACTCAATGCGTTGAAAATATGGTTTTGAAATTTTACATGCTGAGCCGTCACAAGTTTCAAACAGACCACTTAATGAAATTCTTTCCTCGTAGCTGTGGGTTCCCTGACAGCACTCTCCTGTGGTCCGGAAGTGGCTAAAATTTAATCTTAACTTTGTGTGACTGAGGCAGCATCCTACTCCTTAGAGTTTTGTTTATTCTCTAGAAGAAAGTTCTTCTAATACCAGGGTATGTGTCAGAACGTTTGTAAGCATGTATTACACAGCTGCACGTAAGGTTTACTTTAACCAGTCACGTGATAACATAATATCTGCTTAGCAATGAGGGAGACATGGTATTCCAAAAATCGTAAAACTTTAAAGGGCCTTCTCGGTGGGTGGTGGGGTAGGGGTGAGGTGCTCCTTTTTGTGGGCCATACGGAGAGGATCTGTCCAAAAGAGGTACCTTTTTCAGGCTGGAGGTATACAAAAGGATAATAATTAACAATTATTAAACGAGGTTGTGCAAAATATCGTGATAATTGACTTGGGAAGCACTAAAAAATCACGATATTTTGCGATAACCAAATTCAATAATTGTTTTATCATTCGATCACCAGGTTTGTTTTCATATTTAAATCACACTCCGACAGCTCAGTGAGGTGATCTGCCATTTTTCATCCGAGAGCGTGGTTACAATTACGCATGAACGGAATATTATTGAGCAGACCATTATTCGTACGCATTTATAGGCATTTGAAGGTCACCAGATGGGCCCTCGGCCAATGAAAAAAAAGAAAAAAAATGCATCGAATGACAAGGATTTTTATGTGGTGAAGTATAGAAGCGCCTCTTTGGTACCAAAATATCTCGAACCATGACCAAGCACGGCATCAAACAGAGTGAGACCTGGGTGAAAGATTCAATTAACTCTTAACACGTCACAACTTGGGATACGGGCGTCTGTTGTGGAACATGAGCGACAATACGACCGTTGTTTTGACAGGGGACGCTTACTGGAACGAGGCGCTACATCTATGGTGCTGCAGCTTTCATTGACGACCCATCAACCTCGCGAAATTCTGTCGTGATAGCGCAGGAGTGAAATCGAAAACTTTCAGACGAGTTCCGATCCAAATACCGAAGATGCCTGGAATAAGCCAAAGGTGGCTTGCCTCTCCCTCTTCTGTACATTGGCTATCTTCAATCATCTAGCTTCCGACGAGCTCCGAGGCAAACGCAGTAGTCTTGAAGTTCTCAGCGCACTTCTTCAAAGATTGCAAGACGGGCCTAAAGGGCCTCTACTGTCAGTACAGTCACAAGACACCAACTCCATATAGTCAACACGTCTTATTACACATTTCCATCTTTTTACAACAGTTTAGTCCCTTTATGCTTCCTTTTGTAATGAAATTGCGATAATCTGTTTCAATTTTGCCTTAGATTATTTTAAAATTTACAAAACAAATTGCGCCATGCAGTATTTTCCTATGTTTAGCCAGAGTACAGTTCTTTCACAGGTTTGAGCAAATCACTGTGAAAAAAATAAACTGAAAATAAATACAATTCAAAACGTAGATCCAAAAAAACGCAAGTTTTATATTACAAAGCCCAGTAGTTCAAAGGCTGGATTATGCTATCCACAAGACTAATCCTTATCCAAGGGGTAAGTGTTAACTAAACAAACTAAGCTGTCCACTGGTGAGTGATTTTCCAGTGAATAGCGTTGTCCATCTTCTGAACATAACAGACCCAGACAAATAATAGAAGTTAACTGATTTTTTCTTCACCTTGCAAGGGCAAAGCAAATAAAAATCAAAGAAAACTAAAGTTCTTTTTCAGTGCTTGTTGATAGCTCTAGCGAGAAACATCTTCACTGTCGCTATGTTATCCACACCACATTAATGACAATTGGTTACAGTTTGCCTGGTTGAATGACTGCTGCTAAAAGCTTGTCCTGCTACGTTTAACCAGAACATCCTCTACATCCACATATAACACACTCAACAATCTTTCCCTGAAAGAGAAGAGCACAATAAAGTTAAGTCTATCACACTGATCACTTGTCATTGATTCACCTCCTTTGCTATGTTAACAAGTAATGATGGTGTGTAAAGATGTTGGAAGACAAGTGAAACACTTAATTTCAATAATTTCAAGTACATTTACGGGTGACAACAAAGCTTCTTTCTTTTAAAGAAACAAACTGGCATCTTTGTGACAGTCCATTGTAACTAATCTGTGTACACAAGAAACACATTATCCTATTGAATGGCATGCTAGACTCAAGATCAAGCTGTCTGGGTTTGAGTCCTGGTTAGTGTCACCGTGTTGTGTTCCTTGGAAAGTCAGTGTACTCATATAATACCTCTCTCCACTCAGGTGTAATGTGTACCTGGGAATTTAATACTGGGGTGTAATCCTTCGATGGACTAGTAGTTAGTAGTCCCTAGCGCAGGATTGCCACCCACTGGAACAAAAAAAAGTCCCTGACTTTTCACTGACTGTAAAGCAATTTTCACTGACTGTGCAGGATGATTATTCTGGCCATGAATCAATAAAAATAAGGATGGCTAAGATAATTTTTAAAACAAAATTGCCTTGTCTATACGAAAACATCTAATAAAATAATTTTCACTGACTTTGAACAGGGATTTAGAAATTCCCTGACCTGATACAAACCTCCCTGACTTTTCCCTGACCTTGAACAAAATCTGATTTTCCCTGACTTTTCCCTGACCGTGGCAACCCTGCTAGCAGGAATTACTAACTGCCCCCCCCAACCCCACCTAACAAATGCCTATCCCTGAGATCTCCTTAGTGAGTAATTGTTCCACAGTATTCTAGCAGGGCATAGGGGGGAAGACATAGTGGGGTAGAGGTGGTCATGACCAGAATCAACTGGACAAGTGAAGTACAGAAATATAAATACAAGAATGTCAGGTGACACCTGGTTAGGAGTAGCTATTCTCTAATTCACTTCATGCTACGGGAATGATAATAAGCTCTGGCAGTGGGGGACACTAAGTCCAAGCAAGAGTTTCTGTTTGTCTTCAAAACCAGCTACAGTTGAACCTTGATTATCCGTGCAGCCGTACCTCGATTATCCGGATTTCTTGATTATCTGAACTTTTTCTTTAGTCCCAATTATGTCACGAACATTTGTTAGTCATGATCGAGATCTGTAGCCATAATCTTTCTAAAACTACAGCATTGAAAAGTGCAGTCAAAAGTGAGTTTGTTTTGCTTTCAATTAAAGAGCAAAAGTAGCACTGTGTAATGTACCCGTGTAAAGGTATTCACAGTGGGCAATGAAGATGTAGACCATATTGTTTTCCAAATGATTTGTAAAAGTGTTGTTTCACAATTAAATGTTGCTTTCTTAATTTAATCAGTTTTGTTCTTCATTAATATTCATATTTTTGATTATCCGGACCCTCAGTTATCTGGACTATTTCGTCTAATCCCGACAAGTCCGTATAATCGAGGTTCAACTGTACTCACCTCTTCAAGTTTTGCTTTAGGTACACGGCAGATACAGTTTGTACCAAAGTTAGTATCTCTACACTGAATACATCTTAAACAGCAGAGGTTTTCATATCCTTGCTTCTTCCATTTAGCTATTAGGTTTTTGTCAGCATAGCCTTCCTTGAGACAGAATTCATACAACTCTAGGAATTAGAACAATATGTAAAATCAGTTCAAGGATATACATGTACATGAAACATGAAACACCTTATTAGCTAAGTACATGTAATAACATAGCAAAAAACATACACAGTTATATGTACGTATTTCTCATTGCTGGTTGGTTGATTGCTTGCCAGAATATCTCATGTTGTACTGATGAAACTGCATCATAATTTTGCCACAAAGACTTTTTTGGTGGTTGGTAAAAGGTTCATGTTTGTATCTAAAAAAGCATATCAAAAGAACGAAAAGATTATGTTTCAAATTCACAAAACTTCCACAACTTTAGAAGAACTCAAAATAAATTAATTAAAAAAAAACCCCACTCACACTCCAATTTGCCATGGATTATTAATTATTATGCAATTTCTGAGTAACACATTAATTTTTATCTGATCGCATTTTATGCAACCTGTATCAGTATCAGTCTTCACAGTTTGTAATTTGGCAATCAAACTTTAGGGTACATGAATTTAATATCACCATAACCACATGTATATCAAAATAACTGTTTAATGTTGAATAATTCTGTACCTCTACTGATTGCTTTTCTCCTGTAGAACAGTTCATAAACATAGCGAGACTTCTGGTGATGGATTCTGAAATTGAAATAAATTTCTTGTTAATTTCCTCTGGCCTTAAGACGTAAAAGAATAAAACCTGACTGATAAAAAGGCCTTGCCATACTATCTATCTATCTNNTCTGTCTGTCTGTCTGTCTGTCTGTCTGTCTGTCTGTCTGTCTGTCTGTCTATCTATCTATCTATCTATCTATCTATATATATAGATACATACATTTTTCTGAAATTATAACCTTAGGGGAACAGGGATCATTAGGGGTGAGAGCTGGCCTCCCACTGGTGTGGAAGGATTCGATTCTGGCCTGGTGCAATGTGTGGGTTGAGTTTGTTACCGTTTCTCGCCTTGCTCAGAGGGTTTTTCTCTGGGTACACTGGTTCCCCCCTTCAGAAAAACCAACATCTCTAATTTACAACAACAGGATAGAGGACCCACATGAAAACCAGTTAATGTTGATGTGGGTTCCTCTGTAAATATTATAACTTTTAAATTAACATACTCAACAATTTGAACTCAACGGTATTGGTACATGTAGTTTGGGTACTAACTTCACTTGCGTGAGAGCTGTCTTGAGAGAGTATGGAATATGGATACACCTATGCCACAAGCTTCTCATTGAGGTTGACCTACTGTCCTACCACAGGCATAGTTTGGCAAATATACAGGGGGATTGCAAGGATTTTTTGTAGCCAGGGAAAATTACAGACTTTTGTTGCAAAATTCCCCGAACCCGTCAGAAAAACTCCCTCTAATCAGTCAAGGGTCAACCTCAGGGGAACGCTGGTGATATATGTATCAAGACTACTGTCAATGGAATGATAACACTAGACCAACAACATATACATGTATTGAAGACATGATTGATCATATGATATATGATCTCTCATATGTTCCCTTGTATATATATGTGTTATCATTCAATGCACTTTTTTCTTCCTTTCCATTGGCCAAGAGCCGACCACGTGACCTGCAAATAACTGCCCACAAATAATGGTCTGCTCATCCATAGCACTGTCTAAATGTGTTTTGCTACAAATAATATTCTGGTCATGTGCAATTCTAACCACTCTCTTGGTTAAAATTGGCAGATCACTTCCCTGAGCTTCCAGAGAGTGATTTAAATATGAAAACAAACTTGGTGATTGAATGATAAAACAATAATTATTGAACTCAGTTATCGCAAAATATTGTGATTTATCAGTGCCTCCGAGATCAATTATTTACCTCAGCCCTCTGTTTCGCCAAATAATTGATTTGTATGCCACTGAAAAATCACGATATTTTGCTCAACCTCGTCCAATAATTGTTAATTATTAAAGTTTTTTTTTTTGCAGCTGTTGAAGTTGCTGTTAACTGTGATGATCCATTTCTTTTTATATCCTTCACTCGCAGGATACCAGTTAGCTCATAGATTGCACTGTATATTCATCAGCACATAGACTCACAAACTATGAATCAAGCTTCCTAATGAATAAAAAACTGCTGATGTTGTTATTAATGATATAACTTAACGAGTTCACTGTTATAAGCTCTTATTGTCCATAACATGGCGCATTATTACCTAAATATAGGCCACATAGACTCTGTCTTTCGTTTCCCTTCGTGTGGTTCTGTCTCAGCTGAAGAAAGAGAAAGGTACAGTATAACAAACGGTTTAGTATATAGCTCATCAAGTTTAGTTCCATGGTCTGAGAACGCATGAAAATCCCATAATGTTTTGGAGGGGAAATTTACCTTCTCGCATTTTCTGATCCAGTTCATCGAGCGTTGGTTCAATCAGTTCCCATCCCTCTGGTGGCGGTTTTCTACTACGACGTACTTTAGGCATTTCTTTTCGTCAAAAAACGTACGCTTTAATACTTTGAGCACGAACCACGATTCTTGCCTTCTTCTTCTGCTTGTACACTGGAACCCAGCTCACTCGCGTCTCACGGTGGAGAACTGCGCATGCAAAATATTAGAATATGCGAATGTACTGCAGGCTCAAAGTGCGCCATTTTGGAAAAGGGTTTCGTTTGAATTTTGATGCATGCTTCCTCGTAAAAAAATAATGAATGATTGCAACGATATTTTAAACTAGAATAGAAGTTTTAGCAAGTTAAAAAAAATAACAGTGATCTAATTTTGCAAGCTATGTACCATCCTCGGAGACCCAGGGGCAGTTAGTGGGGGCGGGGAAAAGTCTAAACGGGCGAGAAAAAAATTCGGGCGAGGAAAAGTCAAGAACGAGAGGAACAGCTGTTCCTCTCGTTCTCGACTTTTCTTCGCCCGAATTTTTTTCTCGCCCGTTTAGACTTTTCCCCGCCCCCACTAACTGCCCCTGGGTCTCCGAGGATGGCCATGTACTTGGAAGCCATAGAGCCCTTGCCAAACGGAGTCGCAACTAGACGCAAGTTCTCAACTTGCGTCTACTTGCGACTTCGTTTGGTCAGACATTGCGTGCACTTGCGTTGACTTGCGATGACTTGCGCTCACTTTTGTCGAGATCAAATTTGCACGCAAGTCGACGCAGGTTTTTCACCGTTTGGCCACACAACCCAAGTTAACGCAAGTTGGGTGACGTCCATTAACCTATTATTAGCCAATAAAATAAGGATATGTCTGCCTTGAAATGGGTTTTTTTGCGACCTGCGTGTACTTGCGAGGCAACTTGCCAGCCCGTTTGGCCACCCAGCGCAAGTCTCTACGCAAGTTCAACTTGTGGCTACTTGCGACTACTTGCGAGTACTTTTGACCAGGGCTTAAAGCTCTTTGCAGTCCTTGTGTACAGGTAAGCTTATCAGCCAGGCGGGGGACGGGGTGGAGGCAGAAAAGGTACTATTCATGTGTCAGGGGCGGATCTAGGGGGTGGGTGCAGGGGGTGTGCGTACTCTTTCTGAGATGAAACCTTTCAGGAACCCTTAAGTTCTTTTACTCAGAGTGTTTAATTGAGCTTCAATCCCTTATTGGTAGCCTTAAATTCACCTGCAAAGCGGTCATCTCTGGGAGAACATTCCTGCAACATATGATAGACTTTATTTGGGGTGTACACACAACTGTATTTCCATCATATCAATCTCTACAAAGAGTTTTCCAAAGACCTTACCAAAGACCTTACCGAACTATTTTGCAGTCATTTTGACACTTCTCGATCAATGTAACTAAAAATTTCGATCATTATCTATTCACAAATTAACGCTTTTAGATCGAACTTGGATAATCTGTATATGTTTTGAAAATTAGTCGTATCACATAAAGCCACCATTACATCGGAATACAATATTGTAAATTTAAAAATCTTATCCTTACGATGGCTCCTCCAGTGCTTTTCCATCTTCATCTTGTCACATTCGAAGTCTTCTTTTCCACTCTGTAAGAAAAAATTAAAGAGCAATTTAACAAAAAGGTTCAACCGCAGAAAGCGAATATATCATCAAGGTCCTTGCAAGAGCAAACACTACAATATTGTATATTCAGGAAATATTCAAAGATTCCTCAAGAGGAAAGCATTAAATAGGAAAATGTCAGACAGTTGAGGTTCAAAAACACGACAGTTTTTGTCAAAACTGCTGAAAGTTATCGACTTGGGACTGACGCAACGAAAAAATAAATAATACCCCGCTTCTGGTTGTTCAAATACTGTGAATATCGACTTGTTTCCAGGTGGTCGGTAGTTTTATCTTTTTTTTTTTTTTACTTTTGAGATTTTTAAGAAGGGCATGGCCGCTTGTTCTTGTTTCACTAATAAGTCTACCAACTTCCGAGAGCATTTTGATTTCTTTAAGCAGCTAAACTACGGAGCAGCTCAAGTTTTCTTGCTAGCAAGCTTATCGAAGATAAATAAAACTATTTTGAGGAGCGAAATTGTTTGTCCAACGATTTTGAAATAGCACGCCTACAGCAAAACGACCAAAACACCTGCAAATTGCAGCAACCTTAGAATGGCTTCGTTCTGCTTATTTGTGAAGGAAAGCGTTCAGAAAAAAATACTCACCATTTACTTCACTTTCTTAAAGATTTTGTGTTCCAGTTGAATCTCACTGCTCTTGAGTTTCCTTCGTTGTGGTGGAACAGAGGTGTTATCAGCGTCAGAAGTGAAACGCCTTAGTCCTCTACAGCACAACCTCTTTCAAATCAAGGGCTTACAAAGCAAACGCTGAGCAAACACTCAGCGCACAGTTCTAGGGTATAGTTATTTGATTTAAATAGAGTGCGGACATAACGGCCAAGCAGCAGCGCAAATCATCAACTGTTGAATAGAGAAGCGCGCGAGTGACGTCATAACTCAGACAAACTCAGACAAACAAAACGGAAAGGTGGAAGATTTGACGCTTTTTCAAGCGCGTAAGCAAGTGTTCCCAACACAATTTTTAAAACGAAAATTTAGCGTTCATTTCCCTCCTATTTCTCTCAGAACACGCTCATGTTTTCTGACTCTCGCGGGATTCCAATAATTTGCATTCTATTTTTAGACTTCGCGCGCTTCGTTATTGAGCCCCACGCTTTGACAACGCTCTGTATTCAGGCCCAGGTATACCAAAGCACTGTACAGACAATAAATGGCAACATTTAAGCTGCAAAGCGATTATAATTTCTTTTTTTGCGGGCGTTTCTTTTACTCTATTTATACCTGCTATTTTTGGAGCGGTCTTCTGATAGCAAATGTGAAGACAATCAAGACTGCTAAAAAAGCATGCAACCAGTGAAAAGCACGGGATACGCGTTCACCTTGTAAAACATAGTATGTTTTCGTTCGAGTTGGTTAAAAATTGCTATGTTTCGCTTGAAGCAGCTTCAGTAGGTTGTTCTTTGTTTACGAACCAATCGAAAGACCCAGCTGATGAAGAACAAAGCAAAAACGCAATGAGATAATCCAGTGGGGAATCTAAGAAATAAGGAGAAGCCGCCCCTTATTGGAGCAAGAAAGGCCCCACATTGATGAAAGAAAGTGTCCACTTGTATTCTGCACCCCCACCCCCGGCCTGCTTTGTGGGAAGAAAAGGTCCACCTTTGTTCTGTCCCTTTTCCCTGTTCAGGCACAAAAAGTATCCAACTTTACTTAGTCCCCATTCCCTGTCATCAAGTTATATAACGTTACTATAACAAAACGTTTAAGGTGGTCTTATACCTAAA